TTTACCTTATAAAATTAAATTTTAGCATCAGCTACCAAGTACCAGCTATTGGCTAAGATAATATTTTTCATTTCTATTCAATACCACAGAAAAGTTATTGGTGATTTTACAAAAGAATGAAGAAAAACCTGAAAGGATGTTATTTTAAAGGCTAGAACAAATAAAAACATTAGTAAAGAACAAAAACTAAGACACCTTTGCAAGTATTACAATGGTTTAGAGAAGTAATAGAATACCATTTACAAGCAGATGTAAATGTTGGAGAAATTAAAAACTCACATGACATTTTGCAAAACTTGGAAAAATTAATATGTCTTACCAGAGAAATAGATTGTTTACAAATTTTTATTTGAATATGAAGTACATAGTAGTGTGTACAAATTATATATTTTTACCTCAAGGCAATAGAATTTGAGGTTCTTTTCTTTTTCTTGTAACTTAACTGCTTGGTAGAAAACACATTTCTCAGTTTGTCCTCTGCCACCGGTAATGCCGATTTAAGCTGCTCATCTCTACGCCATCGTCTATGGCTCTCTGTTTGGACTATATTTTAATTCCCTATAGATTTCAACTAATTGACCTTGAGGGAAAGCTGAGTCTCTGTGACAATATGGTCTTCAATCACCGCTGCCAACATAAATAAATGGCTCCTCTCTGGATCTATCAAGAGTAATCTGAGTGAAATTTAAGTTTTTGATAGACTTTTAAAAAATGAGCCCAGACATGAAATAATACCCTTTTCAGCAAAAGGGCATAGGATTTAAGAAAACTAAGATTCATGTAATAAAACTGTTTAGCCTTTTATATTAGAAAGTGGCCAGTTATCTTATTGAAATCTGGACAATTTCCAAATTGATTTATATATTAATGAACTATGATATGACAATAACCTTAGTTATTCTAAGTGAGTAAAATAAGAGTGCCCATAATCAGTAAAATGCTTTTCATTTAAGAATATTTAGAAGTTTTAAAAAATGTTAATGAAAACAAGTGTTCTGTTGAGTTTCTCCATGGGGCTCCACAGAGTACTTGACTTGAAAAGAGAGTTCCTGAAATAACATTATTGACTTTCATACACATCAATTTTTGTAAATTTTTATATGTATTTAACCAAATATTCTTTCCTAAAGGAATTCAATGACCTCATCAGTGATAAGTCAGTTCATTTTCTTCATATTACACCCCACCTTGTTTTCTAATTTCCTGTATTAATTGTCCAAATTAATCATTTTTATTTAAAAAATAAAATTTTAAAACCATAAATAAAAACAAAATTTAGAACATAGCCAATACTTAAGGGGAAACCATTCTTACACAATATGAGGCTAAGAATCAAAGCAATTATATGGATACCACAGACAGCAAGGAAAAATTCTAATTTTTACTTGAAATAGGTAATTCATTCCCATTTTGGCATAAATTATCCCAATAGGTATTTGAAAATTTTATTTCAAACATAATTGTGACATAAGCATGGGCCATTACATAAAAATTAGACTATTAGAAGCCTTGTTTCTTATATTATATAAATTCAAAGAGGAAGGACAGATTACATAAAGTGATTAGGTTTAAATAAAGAGAGTGATATAAAAGAAAATAAAACCAAAACAGGGCCTACTTCTTTTATTATTATTATTTTTGTTTAAGTGGGCAAGAGCAATTTTATTGTTCCTATATCTAATTTCCTAACAAAGTATCTAGCATCTGTTAACTCCTAAAATTAGGCGATAAGATAGAGCCTTTGTTTATACATTATACTGTTTGTTGATGCATATAGTGATCATACTTATCCAAACCTTTGAGTTAGGACCTTCTGAGAATTCTCAATTGCTTAATATTTTCATGAAAAATTGACCTAAGTCAGATACTTTCATAGTAATCTGAGCACTCATATTTAGCTTACTGTGTATCTTGGTCTGAATTCATCCCCATTGTATATTCAACAATGATTTATTCATTGTTTACAATGAGTAAGGTTATCAGAGACTTGCAGTATATCAAGAGTTAATCCTGCCCTTGCCTTCAAGTATACATGAACTTTAATGCTTGTGTCTTTAACGCATGTACTTAAATAGCCATAATACAGGGTAGAAGGTGATTTGTCCTGAGAAAGTTAGTTTCACAGAAGGAAGGTATTATTTTCTCTGTAGTAGAACAGGGAAAATTCCAGGGAGGAGTTAACACTTGAGTCAACTATTGAGGGATCAATAGAATCTGGTTGTGAGAAAACACCTGGAATGATAAAAACTGAGAGGGAGAGATACCAAGAGAATATCTGGCGTGCAAACAGAGTGTATGAAAGGGAATTCAGGGGATAATATCAAAAAGGTGGGCATGATTAGAAATGCAGTCACATGATTACATAAAACCTGAGTTACTACAGTCATTGTATTAACTGTCTTGAATTGAGAACTGGAAAATCAGAGTTGGATTTGAAGTCTAGACACTTGTGACCACTTTTTGTGCAGAAACCTTGGCTGGGAAGCATAAAATAGGAAATCTTGATGCTTAATCTAGCACAATCTTGTCTACCCATTTTTTAGTAAATTTAAGACAGAGTAGTCTTGTAGAAACAAACAAAAAAAATTCTTCTCTATATCACTATAAAATATGCATTGGTAAGAGGAGCTTAAGTTATACAAAATAAAATAGAAAAAGTAACTGTAGTGCTAATGATAGTAACTAACATGTATATATTACTTACCAAAGCCAGGGACTTTCTGAAAATTTTATGTATATGAGCTTGATTTACATAATTTTACCCCATTTTTTCAAATTAAGAAACTGAGGCTTAGAAAGATCTATTAACTTGCTCAAGACAATGTAACTGGTCTATGTTGGAGCAGGTGTTTGATACTATTAAAGACACAGTATTTTATAAGGAAAGAATTCACAAATAGCTACTCAAGGCCAATAGCTAGCTAGTCAGTTATGGTTTAAAATTAATATCTTTAGAGAAATCTTTCAAATGCAAAATAATATAATAGTAAAATAAAATAAACTTTCTGTGCATTTTTCACTAAAAATAAACTGACTTGAAAGAAAAATTTTTATTCATTTATAATTTCTAAGTGAGAATAGAGATCATTAATGAAAAAGGAGCACAGATATGAATGATATGAATAATACGATGGTGCTTTAGCTATCTCTTGCTCATTTATATTTCAATATGATTATTCATGTTTAACATCTCTTGGGAATTTCATAAACATAGCCAATTTGTCAAATGACTTACTAATGTCTGCCCTGAAACTAGCTCTATTTTAGATTTTAGTTATTTCCATAAAAATATTTTACCAGTCAAGACTGGATACTCAAGTAATACTGGATCATCTGGAAAAGAGAGAATTTTTTCATTCTGATTGTCCTTAAATAGATGGACCATGAATCTGTAATTAAATCAGATGTAGTTTGTCTGAATTTCACCAATCACAAGCAGAAAAGTGTTCCTTGTTACTTTAAAATGACCTCCATGCAATTCAAGAGTTTCCAGTTGTTTGGTAGGAGGGAAATTGATTTGCTATTTCGCGTGTCTCGTTTATTTCTGTCTGATACTCAGTTAATTAGGATTTTCTCAACCTAAGCCCCTTTCCATTTCTATTTCTGAGGAACATCATGGCATAGGAGCATAAGGCATCAGGCATCTAAGGGCGCTAAGGTAGTGTGAGTTTAGTCCATAGTGTCTTTTTTTCTTAATGGTCTTTGCTTAGAGGTAGTTATTTTGATTTGTGTCTTCAGGTACCTACTGTTGCCATCTCTGAAGGATTTCCTAAGCCCCTCATTCAGATTCTGTCTTCCTGACCCAAACCCAAGGATATTTCTGATTCAATAGCCCACTCAGCCATCTCCATATCCATCCAGATTCATAATTTCTGTTGCCTTCTTAGAATTACTAAAGGGTATTGTGGAAAGCCCACAAGCTCATCCAGCAAGGCTGAGCTCAAACATTGCTACTTGATCACTGTCATGCCATGTTTGATAATGAGATGGTCCATCAGGTTATAGTCTGAGAAGCTGGAACATAGCTCTTTCTGCTTGAGGACATCTGCAGCATCAACCAGAGTCTACCATTCTCCTTGATAACACTTGCTCCACCACTCCATATTTTTCACCAGTCCCTATACTGGAATAAAATATTCTTCTTTTTGACTCATGGTTTATTCATTGAATGCAATCCCTTTGTGACCATTATCAAATATTCATTATGCCACATTTGTCAACCTAATTATTTTTTTCATTCATTCTTTAATACAAACCATATCCTCTTATAAATATTCTTCACTGAAGGAATACAGTATCTCCAATAATAAAATTTAATAACTCTTTAATAAGTCACATATTTTATTTAATTATACTTTGTGCCTTTTGTGCTTGTGCAGTGCTAATTTGTTGTGCATGACAAACGTGTTACTAATGATGTGCCCATCTTTGAATTTGTGTGTTGTGTTGTCTGTTTAGTTGTGAGAAATAACTTCAGTATTTTTCAGAGTATAAATGACCAATGAACTGTAACAAAATATATAACTAAAATAATGGAAATGATTGTGATTTTGTTTTAATATATATTTATCAAAACTCACTCACAAAACAAAACTTAGAAAATATAATGTCATTTTTCAATGATCCATTCTTCCTAGCTCAGCACTCTCTGTTCACAAAGACATTTTTTCAAATCCCCATTAACTTTCTTAGAAGACTAAATACTATACAATATATTAAAAAGTGACCCATTTTTAATCTAGTGCCCCCACTGCCTAAAAATATAGGAGAGTACCTTCTTAGCTTGAGAGAGAAGACAAATTATTATTTGTCTATATTTGGGTCCAAATAATATATAATATTTTAAAATGAAATAGGATTTTAAATAATGATCACATGTGAGTTAAAGGCATTGCACATTATACATTGCTGGCTTATATTTTTCTTATTTTAATCTAGAACTCTTTTAGAAAGAGCCATACCCTTACCTCATAATGTATTTAATACAATCTCTGTTGCAGGTTACTTAGTTATAGAAAATCCATCAAGTAAGTTTGTCGAATATCTTTTCTTCTCTTTGAATATCAACTTTAGACTCGCTGATTTGATGAATCTTACTGTGTGGTTCCTTTTTTTGTATGTTTGTTAGAAAAACCTCCAAGCTGGATATAAATCATAAAAGCATGACTAATTGCATGGTAACTGGAGAAATGCTTTCTCTCTCTCTTGGGGTGAAGTCTGCATGTCTGTATTTTAGCTTGGGAAGTAATACGGGGATATTTAAACTCCTTGGGGTTTAAAAACCATGTCATTATGAGAATGAGGTCACTGCAATATTTTATATCTTCTAAAACCTTGTAATGTATAAAATGTTTTCTGTATGACAAAGAGGTATTATGTGCTTTAGGATTCAATGATAACTTTATGCCCTTACATTTACTTGAAAACTTTCTTCATTAAAATGTTAAATCATTCACTTAAAGCCACTTAAAAATAGGAGGAATTTTGAATCATGAATACAAAGAAAGTGCACTTAAAGAAGAAAATTTTGAAAGTGTGACAGAATGACTTTATGGGGCAGGGTGGTTTATGGGTTTTGAAATGTCCATTGTTCTTTAAACTTGTTAACCATTGTCCATGCTAAAGTGAAAGAACCCAATCTAACGTGACTCCGTTTCATACCTTTCCTTGCTTGGAGGCCAATAAGCAAGAAATCCTTCCTGCAGCATGTTGAAGAGCTTTGCACAAACAACAACCTAAAGTTTCAAGAAGAATTTTCGGTATGTTACCACCAGTTGTCACAACATTGCCAGACCTCCAGTCGTTTCATGTGTCACATTTCATGTCCATTTTAAGCAAGCAAGACCATGAAGGACTCTGGCCTTGATAATCAATACCCAATTACCAGGTCGATTGTTTGGATAGTAATGTTACACTGGGCAGCCTCTGGTACAACCTGAACAGAATTATTCACCTATTGTGTCATGAAAAGGTGCACTTCTACAGACCTCCCGGGGAACAGCATCCTGGCCTTCTTTCTCCTCTGGCCTCTCATCCAGAGATAGATGCTAAGCTATAGTGCTGTTTTCACTAGTTTTTGTTTGTGTACAAGGCTCGGGTTATACCATAATTATACTTCATATTCAAATAATTATTTTAGATATAGAGACTAAATGATTCCAATTTATATTTGTCTGCTTAGTTTGTGTTTGTGGTATAGGTGAGCCTGAGAGCAGAAGTTCATGTTTCCAGAAGCTATACAAATTATGTTATTTCCAGAACTGTCCAAAAATAAAAAAATAGATAATGCCCATGTTTTTACAAGGCCTATTTTTAAGTTAATATAAAAATAATGCTGTTTCATGTTATAGAGAGTAAGTAAAGAACTTGTCATCTAAAAACTATTTAAAAGTTAAGGATAATTTGTTGCTTTTACTATTTTATGTTTATGAAATTGAAATTATTTTAAAATATAAGGTAGATATCAGATTTGCAAGTTATTTTAAAACTTGTAGCCATCTTTTCTAATTTGAATGGCTAGTTTGTATTATGAAAATAGAACCAATTTAGAACCAATTAGAAAATAGATTTCTAAATGTCGCCAGAACTTTATTTCTATTTTTTCATGAAATTCACAGTGTATGAACTTATGAAACAAAGAATTGAACAATTGGCTTGAATAATTCAGGAGTATAATACTTCAGTCTCTGCGGGAATAATAACAAAAAATGTGAGAAGATTAATGGTATTTCCTACAGCTTTTTGGTTATGCTTCTTAAGTAATATTGGTCTTGACTTAACAAAATCAGTGGTACCATAAAACTCTTTTTAAAATTTACACAGCAAAAACTCTCAATTTTTCAGGAGGAAAAGTGTAATTTCACTAGAATAGAAGCGAATATAATTACATTTTGCATGACTAAGTAGATGAAAAGTTTTATTAATAATAACATTTTCACATATATTGGGAAATTTTTTAGTTTAGCTTTTTTGGAGATCATGGTTTTAAGAACTTAGGGTGTTTTATATGAATATATAGATTTTGTGTAACTATTATATAAATGTACCTATATATGTAAGGTAGTTGTTATTTTTAATGTGTTTATGCTAATGCTGTATTTTTTAAGTAAAATTATGTTTTAATAAACAAATGTGTATTTGATGCATATATTTGAAAAACATAATTCAGGTTATATTCACTTATTATACTTTAAATATTTAAAATCTCCTACTATGTGTTAGGTATTGTATTTGGCACATTGACATATATCAATTCAACATTAAATGTCTAAATGACCTTGGGCAAATCACTTAAACTCTCTGTGCCTCAATTGCCTCATCTCTAAAATGATAGCATCTACTTCATTGAGTTCTGGATGCTAAAATGATTGAATGAGTGTAATACTGAGAATTGTGACTGGTATGATTTTTAGCTATTATGACAATTATTTCTACCAGAAAGAAGCTCATATTATGATAAGAAATGCAGACACGTATAAAAAATTACAAAAGGCACCGTATCATGACAGAGATATTCATAACGAAATGAGGATCAATTTTGTTTGGATAGAAGTCAGAAAAAGACTTCACAAAAAGGTGACCTTTGAGATGAACTTTAAGAAGAGCAGAAATCCAATGAGTAGATAAAGGAAGAAATATTCCAGAGAGAGGGAATGAATGCAAAAGTGTAAGACTGCAAAACAGTTTAGCTCATCTGTGGTCTCACTGAAAAGAGGAAACCAGTAGGAATAAGAACTAATAGTTGGGAGGATGGTCGAGGCCCTTTCTACTGTGATAAGAATAGGCCACCAAGTGTAACATTACTGTCCAAACAATCATTGTGGTAATTGGGTATTGATTATCAAGGCCAGAGACATTTAAATCTATAAATGGGTATTTCTATGTGAAATAATTACAGGAGTATCCTTTTCAGGTAATTTCCAATTCACCTTTCTTCTCTTCTCCTCCACATAGTTCGTCTTACAAATACGTTCCCAAAACCTTGACAAATGGAAGCTGTTCTAGGATTCCTCACTTAGATAATCTTTATTTTTCTAAGCCTCTGGTGCCAACACACCAGAACTCAGATGTTTACACTGCCCTCTCTTCTAACACATATCCGCTTGCAAAAGACTCCCCAGGTTTTCTTTCTGAGGAAAAATACGGTGGAAGGGAGAATTGTCCAGTTAAAATGAATTATTTATAATAAGGTTAAGTGAATTGTACAAACAAGTGTTTTAATAGTGTTTAAGGTCTTTGGCAAGTTGAGACATCTCTAAAATGGAAAACTATAAATTTCGTAAATGTAAATCTCAGTTCAACAAAATAATGAATACATTTTTTCACCAACTTGCTCTTTTTTAGCACCAACTTTCTTAATGATATGACTTTCACCAGAATGTCAATAATAGATCACTTTGACCCTTCTTCGGTGTCTGATAATTCTAAATTGCATCTTTGCATTCTACTATCGATTTAACAAGGCCTTCTGAGCATAGGAATTGACCTTTGCCATCTTCTCAAAATGACCAGTGTTGTCCTAATTAATAGGCATGAAATCACACTGCCTGAGGAGAAAAAACAAAAAATAAATCACCGCACTCCTTTCCCCTCCTAAGTAGACATTAAAATATTAAATAATTTTATGTGTGTACCTGATAAAACCATTAAGACAATATAGGAAAGAATTACTAACATGGTCACCACATCACAGAGCTTCCCAAAGGACAAAGAAATTATACCATAGAGCAATATCCAAACTGACCGATTTTAGTACATTCTCAGTGGAAGTTTACATAAGATCATTAAGGTTAATTTGACCTTGTTTTTGCAGTTACAAGAGGTGTTATCAATTCAAAAATAAAAGGGTCTAGAAAATAGAATGGTGTTTTACTAAATGGAATTTCCTGTTTACCCCTGAAATCAACATAAACTTTGTAATTATTTCATTTCACAGGAATTACCAAAATTTCTTCAAGATCTTTCTTCAACTGATGCTGACCTGCCCTGGAACAGAGCAAAAAACCGCTTTCCAAACATAAAGCCATGTATGTGCATTTACTGTGTCTGGTTTTAGCACTGAAATGCTTTAACATAACCATAAAATGCAGCTTAACATTTTTTTATTTCTTGAATGTATTTTTTTGCATATTAATTAAATTATAATAATGCATTTTCTTAGTAGCGACTTTCAAATTGTAGCTCTTTTGCTTTGTTAACTTTATTGAAGGTAATGTACATGGTTTTCAGCTTGTTCACACAAAGTTCACTTAATGCAGGTGCTAGAAACTGTAGATCTAATAGTTTCTTAGCTTTGTAATTTAACCCAAGTAACAAAACACTCTTACATCTTCCCACAGACCTAGTTTTCAAATGAAAAGAAACAGTTCACATGTAACTTTGTGCATTAGTTTCCCTTAAGAGCATTGCAGTGTCTTTTTATAGAATATAAAAAAATGCCTTGTAAAATATTCACTGAGAATCATATATATATATATATATATATATATATATATATATATATATATATATATTTACCAGGATTAGTTTCACAAATAAAGCTGGGTTGTGCCTTACCATACTAAAAATGGCTTTGTTTTTCAATGAGAAAAAGAGCCATATTATTGTCTTAAAAATTAAAGAAAAAAACATAACTCTTAATCATAGCTATATGTTTGATGTTATATTGTTGAACATATTTCTGCTATCTATATTATAACTTAATACCTCTTATACTACAAAATAAAAAGTGACATTTGTGATGTTTTTAAATATTGTCAATATTTTTTAAAAATCTAAAGTTTTAAAATATTCTTAATTTTAGAGTTAACGTTATAATTTTCACTTTGTGTTATGCCTTTTTTTAAAGCTGTATTGGGGAAAATTCCACACTTAAAAATTGAACTTTACTGTCTTAAAAAGACATGGACTTAGAGAAGAATAAAATCACAGAATGTAAAATCACAAAGTATATGGATAGGAAGAAATGGTCCAAATTCTGATATTCTAGAACTAGAGGATAACTGAGACATGAAATAAAAATTTTAAGGAAACATGATATAGGAGGTAGTAACCTAATGGAATCTGCTAATTCCCAAGAATTAGAATAGGATGAAAATACAAAGAGCTTTAATCCTAAAATCCTTTCTGGAACAAAACAAATCACAAGTAAATGTCTTTTAAAGCAGTTGACAAATAAGATGTTATTATAGAAAATAAGAAATGCTTTACATCTCCAAATTTCTATTGCATAATCTTTCTGAACAGACCCTTTTGTTTTCCCTTTCGAAGAGTTAACCTGGGTTGGATGCATCATTAATTTAAGAGATAGGAAAATTCTCATATTTTTATATTCGTCTTTACTTAAATTTCTTCCAGGCTGTCTGCATCATGCTCCTCAGTGATATTCTGTGAAAATAAACTGTAGTCTGATTGAAGGGCGGTGTTATATAATATGTAACATTTGTTTACAATTATAGAGTATGCTGAATTAATTTATTATGTATCAGTATATATAAAATAAGTAAATCAAATATGTTTAACTAGTTGCCAAGTATCAGAGTATCTAATTTAAATGTGTAAAATTTTGAGTTATTGGAGAGTTATTGTTGGTATATTTTTAAATTGTTGTTCAGTTATAGCTGTCTCCATTTTCCTGCCACCTCTTCCCCCTGCCCCACCCACCCCCACCTCCTGCCCTCGATCCTTCCTCACTTTGGCTTTGTCCGTGGGTCCTTTATACTTGTTCCTTGATGACCCTTCCCCTTCTTTCCCCTGTTATACCCCTCCCTCCTCCAAGAGAGATATTTTTAAATGTGATAATTCAATATTCTATTATTAAGATTTCACTGCATCATTATCTGGATTCACATCATGGCTATGAAAAATGCCAGACAATATTAGCTTGTAACTTATAGCATAAAAAATAAAAATGGTTGATAAGACTATATTAAAAAATAATTGTTAATGGTGAACTTATGTTGTAAATCAAGGATGTTCTGGAATTTTAGAATGAGCACTTCATGCATTTTTTTCCCTCTGCTAGGGTAAAATGGGTAATGTCCAGTTGTTTTCTGCTTTCTTAATTTCAGTACTCAAAACCTATGGTAATTATTCAAATAATATATCTACATCCAATAGCCTGTAACAGATTTTTAAGGGAAACCTTCTTCATAACTGTCTTCTTACATGGTTGGAGGTCTTATAAGAAATATTTTTGTTAGATAAAATCTTATATTTTTCAAGAATATTATTAGAATAATTTATTAATTCAACTAATACATACTTCCCACTTTATAGTAAAAAGAGCTAACAACATATATGTTCTAATCATACATTCTGGGTTGTGATCATTTTTACCCACTATCTTAGTGACTGGACATACTACTCATGGTCTCTGTCTCTAAAAATTATTGTGAGGATCAGATGAAATAATCACATAAGCCACTTTGCCCAGTAGTGGAACAAGAAAAATACAAGAAAATGATGTGGGTAATCAATAGATTGCTTACTTTTAAAAATTGTTCAACTTTCTGAGTGAATAAGATTTAGCAATAGACTGTTATGGTCTATAGTCTGGGGATAACAAGCTCTTAGCCTGGGTTAAAAGGCAAGTGGCAAACTCACAGACACCTCTGTAGGCCAGTACTCCCCACCCACCCCCCACACACACACACACACACACACACACACACACAATAAACAAATGAGATGTTTAGACTAAATATATTTCCCCATTGTGCTCTCAGAGAAGCCATAAAGCCAAAGAAATGTTTTTTCTTCTGTAGGGAATGTATTCATTTTTCAGAGTCTGAATTTTAACTTGAGCTACCTAAGTGAAGTGCATTGTTTTCCCTGAGTAATGAAGGAAGTAGTATTTCAAGTGTCACAGTGCATTTTAGAAGGTATTGGCTTACACAGTTTAAAGATACTAGGATTAGCAACAAATACTTGCTGAAGAGACTTGCAAGTCTCTGTTTGACTGGACACAATGACCTTCAGAAGTATTCCAACACTATGTATAAAAAACTTGTTGACCCAGAGGCATATCATGTGAATAGAAACCTAATGACTTACCTTCCTTAGTTACAGAACCAGCCACAATATCATTAAAATATATAGATCACACCAACTTTAAAATCTTTGGAGCATAATAATTGACATGAATTTGCTAAAACATTCCCTATCTGTAACTTTAAGCCCATGGCGCAAGTCATTAATTACTAATAATACAGCTAAGTCATTTTAACATATAAGAGGATATGCTCATTTTAAGAATGAGAAAATTAAGTGCTTCCTATAAGCACTCATATACGTTTTCCTCAAGAGGATTCTACAAAATAAATATTATAGCTACATATTATAGCTGAGGTAACAAAGGAGCAGAGAAGTTAAGCAAGTCACCTGAGGCCATATTTATGGTGGATAGATTCTCTGGAACTCACACCCAAGCCAGGTTAGCCATCTTTCCTCTACTATTGAATAACTTCCCACTGAGGTTAAAAAACATAATCCTTCGCAATAATTAAGTAGTAATAGATATTTTATTTTTATCATTTCCATGTCTAGTTAAAATTAGCACTGGACATTGCAATTATAGTACCAACTTAGTAAATAAAAATCTTCAAGAAAAAAAAATTTCATATTTTGAAGGAAAGTAATGGATAGAAGGTTATCTACTTTTTCCAGATCATAAAAGAATCTAATAATAATAAAAAAAATTGGTATTAAATAAAGAATAGACAGATAAATTAATAGAACAGAATAAATAATCCAGAAATAGGCCTAAATATATAGAGAAATCTAGTATATGATAAAAGTGACATTTTGAATAATAAATAAGGAGAAGTGTGGAATGTAAAAAATTGGGACTATTTGTTGCTTCAATGGCAAGAAGCAAACAAACAAGAAAGGATAGATTTTATCTCATTCTGTAAAGTAAATAAATAAATCCCAATGGATTAAAGATTAAAATACTTAAAATAAAAGCAGAAAAACACCTTAAAGTTGCAGAAGAAACTATGAATGAATTTGTAAAAATAAGAATATTGTTGACAAACACCTGTTCATGAATGACACAAGAAACTACTGAATCTATAATGAAAAGAAATTTAATTACCTAAAAAGTCAATTTTATGTATGGTAATATATTATAGTTAGATTGATAGACTCAAAGATAAACAACAAATGAGGGAGAAAGGTTTAACATGTACTGCAATAGGCCACATATAACTTTTGTTTTTAATATAAAATATTTTTAATAGGAAAATTGTATAATATGAAAAAGCATTTAGTAGAAATGTATTTGTAATGGCTAATAAACAAGCAAAGAAGCTCAATTTTACTATACTTAAGGAGATCAAAATAAATACTATGAATTATTCATTTTTATCTATCAAAAGATCATAAATTAAATAGTTTGATAATATCTTGTGGTAGTGAAAGTAAAGAAAACAGAATTGTTCAAACATTTTGTTCAGAGTATGAGTTGATATAATTAAAGAACAATTTGGGAATATCTTTCAAAATTTGAAATGCACAATGTGATTTGGGAATTTTATTGCTGGTAATGTACAAATACCTTTTAACATACATGCAAAAAAGTGAGATTTGTTCAGCTTTTTATTAAAAATGAGATTAAATCTTTGCACATGATATATTCAAACAGAAAAATACTACAGGTATCTTTGTTTATGTTGATATGGAATGAGAGAGGTATATGAAGAAAGCAATTTGCAGAACAGAATGTATAGCATCCCATTTGTGATTTTTCATAAGTATGTACAGAAAATTCTAGAAACATATGCAGGGACATATTAACAGTCACTATTGCTAGGTAGTGGAAATATGGAATAAGAGGGAACTTCTACTTTAGTTGTATACCCATCTGTAATGTTGAATGTTATATCATGAACTTCTTTGTATTACATTTATAGTAAAAAAGTACTGGTATTAAAATTGAATAGCATTCAATTTTGTATGTTTTTTCCTAGACAATAATAACAGAGTGAAGTTGATAGCTGATGCTAGTATTCCAGGATCAGATTATATTAATGCCAGCTATGTTTCTGTAAGTTCTACTTTTAAATATTTTATATTTTTATAAAACATAAATACTTAAATTATATTACTCCTCTATTTAAAACAACAAATTCATTACAACATCTATGGACCTTGATGTGCCAGTTCCTAATAGACACTTCAACTTACCAACAATCATTTCACTAAAAAGTAGCAGATATACAACTTCAAGTGACACATCCACTTGTCTTTTTACTATTTCATATGTCTCCTTTTCAGTGTATGATCTGTATACAATGAAGCCTGCCAGTCTCTCTTTCAAAGAAAAGTTAGTTGAATGGACAGTCGTGTCCATATAATACAAAAATCTATTATGCCTTTTTTCCCCTTCTACATTTTCTGTCCTTCAAGGGATCTATGATGCCATGTTCTTTTTTCTATCCTCAGCTACTTGTAGAATGTGAACTCTGTTGAAGCTATTTAATAAACATATATCCTAAATGAACCAATATGAGGGAATTGTGACATGCCTCATACACTGTCTTGCACATCACAGATAATGAATGCTTGCTGAATTGTATTGATATCAACTGAAACCAAATTGTTTTAGGGACTCTCTCTCCCTCTCATTCTCCATAGCTCTTTTGTTCTGTCAATGCTCATCAGTATCATGGGAACATAGAAAACTTATATGCTCCAAAGACCTCCACTTAAGCTGACATAACCATGAAATCTCAGAGTAGGAATTGTCCTTGTGGTTCATTTAATTATTCGCCTTGGGATTCTTTCTTAAAATTTTCTGATAATTAGATGTTAGCCTCTCTTGGCACTGATTCATCCACTTCCTTCTGAGGCAGATGATTCTATTTTCAATGACTCTAATATACAACTTTTTCTTTAATGAGCTAGTCTCCAATTCAAATATTTGAGGGTCTCCTATTCTGTCCACACTCCCATAGGTCTTATATTCTTTTCTTATTCATAGGCCTTCTCACCCAGGCCTGCCATTCACTTTGGTACCATTGGAACTCTGCTTATGTGATGTTCTGTCCTTTCCCCAATATCAAACAGAAGTGTCCTGTGTCCCATTATCTCCAAAACTCTGTTGGAGGAGGCAATTCATTCTAAATTCTATATTGATTAACAATACTTCCAAAATTATAATCATATGTTGGGTCTTATTTTGAAAAGAATGAATGGGAGAGTAAGATTTTTTTAATAAGGGAAGTGAAGTGAGGAGGGGGGTGGAGAAGTTAAGGCATCCATTGAATTTCATCCTATCCTTATGCTAGAGCTTAAAAAAAACACAAATTTACTATTATAACCACATACTTTATTCATTGATCAAATGACTGATTTCCTTGAAAATGTAATTCTTCTCTGAAGATTTTTATGAAATCCTCTCCTTACTAATTTTCATTGTAGCCTAAATTCTATAGCATGCTGAAGTTTTGCTTTGATTTACACAATGATACCTATATGTATTTTTTAATTAATTTATTTTTTCAAATACATTTGTCTCTGCCTACCCCCCACTACTTTCCCTTGTCCCCTCCCTCCCTCAATTCTTCCCCTTTGGTTTTGTCCATGAGTCCTTGCTATATGTTCCTTGACTTTCCCCTTCCCTTCCTTTTCCCCCACCCCCGCTCCCTCCTTCCCTCTTGTCTCTGTTGGTTTCTTTTAGATAGTTAAATTTGATCAATGCTCTAATGATCATATATCTTATAGTACAGGACAAAAGCAAATGGTTCTATAAGTAACCTACTGATTTGTACCATTTCTTAATTTACTAATTGGTAGATACAAATTAATAGCTCATATCTTCTAATGTTCAACCACATGTGGGGTGACAGTACAAGGTATGCATATGATTAGGCAGGAACCCAGTTTTAGTGAGTTTATCAGAACCACATGGATGAATAAGCAAAGGAATATTCCTGAATCCCCATTGTGATCTCTAAATAGTATAGATTGTCAAGAGACAACTATGAGAAGACGATAATACAAGATAAGCAATGAACTAAGAAGTCTGAATATATATATTCAAATGATGTAATCAAATGATGTAATATAAAGCTTCCAACAAGGTCGCTATGACCCAACCACAGTGATGTGCATAATCATTATGGAGCTGCATTTCAAGCAGGCCCCAGTGGAAATCACATTAAGGCCGGTCTGGCACTGGAGTGGTCAGTATACAGGGTAGAGCAAAAGTAGGTTTACAGCTCTTCATGTGGCAAATAATACAATAATAAATAAATAATAATACAAGAATGAGCTCCATGTTTTGCATACTCACCATTGTAAACCTGCTTTTGCCCTGCCCTGTATTGTATTGTCCTTACATTTCAAGTAGATTTCCTTTGCTTGAGATGCCAGGATCAGAGGGGAATAGACAAAGCCTAGACATGACAGTGGTCCTCACTTCTCCATCTCCAAATTCGGGAAGTCTTCACATCAGAAAGGATGTCCGATACCTCAGTTACTCCTCACTCCCCAGTGGCACCTCTGTCTGAAAGTTCATGAACAATTGTCCCAGGAGCAAAAGACAAGAGTCCATCTACAAATGGTTCCTGGATTCCTATTTCTTCAGAAGCTAGAGGAAGGGGAGGAGAGCTATAAAGGGAGGCAGAGAAGAGAGCAAAATAACCAGTATTCAGATGGAAAAGCAAAAAAAAATGAAGCCTGGGAAAGAAAAAGGAGAGGACGAGCAAGTGGTCTGAGGGATATACTTTAAGACTGGGAAACTACAGGCCAGAACCTATAACTAGATTAATAGATCATGAATATGCACATCCTTCTGCCCTTGGCTCTTCTTGAGAATTGTGCTCCTGGAGGTAGGATTCACAGAGAGCTTGGAAAATTTTTATGGAGAATGGACTGTGTGAGAGTGGTAGGGAGGAAGAGATACTACATCCCTGTAAACAGCCAGTAAGTATTCAAATGAGCTTAGCAATATTTTCAAAAGAGTTAACAATAAAAATTTTATATAATGAGATAAGAGGAAGGTCCCAAGCCCTGAAAATTATCTATCCTTTCAACCAGATGCCTGAAATTACATTAACTTGAGAATAACTTCTACCATAATTAGAGATAGAAGATGAAAGGTTATGATGCAAAAGAGCTGTAATAATATCAAAAATACCAGATTTGTTCCCATTTTGATAGACCATTATAATAGCTAAGGATATTGAGTCCCTGGAAAAGTGAAATACAAGTGACCAAGAGAAACATTTTATAACTCAATCAATTACAATTATTACACTCACCCCTGAAATACTTTGTTCATTGGCTTCTGGACACCATTTTCTCAATTTTTCAACCACAGCTTATTGATTCTTTCATCTTAGTCTCACTGGTTCTCTCTGATCTCCTCAACTACCAAATATCAAAATTATCCACAGCTCATTCCTTGAATTTAGTTTCTTTCAAAACTCATTTCCTTGGTAATCTCAACCAGCCTCATGATTTTAAGTAAGAACTATGTGGTGATCACTTTCAAGTGTATGTTTCTAGATTGAACTTCTTCCTGAATTCCAAAATCTTACAGCCATTTGCCTTCATGACATTCCCAATTGATTATCTAATAAGGATTTCCAGTTTAATATGTTCATAATGAATTTCTAATTTTCCCTTCAAGTTTGCTCATCTTGAAGTCTTCCCCATCATCCTTTGGAGTCATTGATTCTTTTCATTTCTTATACACAACAGCCAATCCATCAGCAAATTCTGTTTGCCCTGTCTTCAGATGGACCAGATCTTATCACTTCCCATCATCCCCATTGCTATCGCTTAGTCGCCCCCTTGGTTCGATTGTTGCAATAGCCTAACTACTCTTCCTCCCTTCACCTCTGGCCCCTTATAGGCTAGTTTTCTTACAGAAACCAGAGTGAAACTGTTAAACCACACACTATATGTTTATAAACTGTCAATGGCTTTCTGTATCATTCATAATAAACACTAACGTCTTATCTTTACCTAAAGGACCTAAAGCATCCTTATATGTCCCTGTTCTTTCTGCTGCTATTGTCTAGTACTGCCCCCTTCATGTACTCCACTCCAGCCACTTGCTGTTTATAGAACAATCCAGATACATCTCCCCTTTAATACTGTTACACTTGACTTTCTTTCTGTGTGGAACACTCTCCCCCCAAATAATGCAAGGCTTGCTCTCTTTCTTTTTTAATTCTCTCTCAGATGTCACCAAGGAGTCTTTTCTGAACATCCTATATTCTAAAAGCCATCTCTCAAAAGCACATATCACTTTTTAAATTTCTATGTATTTTGCTTATTTAGTAGACTTATTAACAGGCCTAGTGCTTATTTCTCTTAACTGGAATGTAAAATAAATGAGGTTAGGGATTTGAGTGTCTTTGGTCAGTGATGAACCCCCAGCTCCCAGAGCAGTGCCACGTATGTATTAGGCACTCATAAATATTATTTGCAGGAATGTGCATATTTTAAAAGTCTGTGAAAAAATTGGCCAACACATTAATGGTTCTTCATTCTGGATAGTGAGAATGTAAGAATGTCCTTCCTCATTCTATTACATATACCCTTCTGAATTTTCCAAACATTGTATATTGAATATATATTGCTTTTTTAGCCTTAAAAAACCCAAACTCTTACTATGTAAAATAATTGAATGGTCACATTTACTTTGAGACTGGAAATACAGAAATGCTTCAACATACAATGCATTTAAGAGACTCACAGTGTTATCCCAGAGACTGTCACTGGCTAGCACTCTAATTTGGGAAAATTACTGTAAGTGCCTCACTATTCTTTCAATTAAAATAAATTGCTTGAAACTTAAAATGTGTATTATTCTGGCATGATTCTATAGTCTCTGGTCACTGATTTAAAAGTAGATTTTCTGATTTAAAAATAAATTTTACTTTTTTTCTACTCCTTTAAAAATTTTGATGTTTAAAATAGATGTAATTCCTTTGCTACTTCTTTTTTATACAGTAACTTTCTTTAAGAAAAATCCACAGATACAGCCCAACTTGCATGCTTACATTTCAGGTAAATGGATTAACGTTTAGAACAACTTGATAAAATGTACAAGAGCTGTCACAATAGAGTTGAGACAAATCTCAGGCCTTATATTAATATTAGCGGTATAAATCTTCATATTACCCCACCCACATTACTTTTTTTCCCTTCCTTCATTTGTATTTTTCTCTTTCTTTCTTTATTTCTTTTCTTTCTTTCTTTTCTTTCTTTCTTTCTTTCTTTCTTTCTTTCTTTCTTTCTTTCTTTCTTTCTTTCTTTCAAATGCAGTTTACATTTAGTATTATTTTGTATTCTGTAGTTTCAGGTGTACAGCATTGTGGTTACACAAGCATTATCTTTAAAAGTGTTCTGCTTGATATTTCCAGTAGCCGCCTGGCACCACACTTAGTTACAACAGTATTATTAACTATATCCCTTATGCTGGACTTTACAAGCCCCATGACTATTTTGTAACTACAGATCTCTACTTGTTAATCCCTTCACCTTTTTCACTCAGTCTCCTAAACCCTCTTCCCTCTGGCGACCACCAGTCTGTTCTCTGTTTCTGTACCTCCCATCATTCTTGGTTCAGAGCCCCAGAAAGCAAATACTAATGCCCCAGTTTAAGTAGGTAAGTAATTTCTTGGAGGAAGAGTATGAAAATATTTGCAAAACCCATAAATATCAATATATGATGAAAAGAGTGGAGTGGGTGAGGCTGCTGGCTCTGGACTCCTACCAGCTGTGAGACCTTGAGCACATTCACATTTCTAAGTTTCAGTATCTTCATATGTGAAATGAGGGTAATAATAGTACAAATTCACAAGGTGTTTTTTATAAGAAATAAGTTAATGAAAATATTAACTATAATTGCTTAGTATATTTTCTGGCATAAAGCAAGCATTTGAATAAGGTCAACATTATTGCTGTTTTTTTATGTAATCCTTAATGTTTTATTGGAAAGTGAGGAATAAATTTTAAGGACGATATTGGTTGTATAGTATATCACATTATGAGGTTAAAATGAGAGATTGGAAATTCTGAATATCTAATAGTATTTAGCATTCAAACTACACAATACTTAACAATATGAGATCATTTTACAACTAATATATTTTTGAATACTGTTCAATAACTTAAAACTTGTAGAGATGTAAACATTGATGCGGTGTTGTATTTGTGTCCCTCTAGGGTTACTTATGTCCAAATGAATTTATTGCTACTCAAGGTCCATTACCAGGGACAGTCGGGGACTTTTGGAGAATGGTTTGGGAAACCAGAGCAAAAACATTAGTAATGCTAACACAGTGTTTTGAAAAAGGGCGGGTAAGTTTTTTGAAAAATCCTTTCACAAAATGTTATTTTACAATTGTGTTAATATGTGTGTGACAATTTCAGCAAATACTGTGAATCATCAATAACTCGGATATCTATAAAGCAGTTTTAACCAGTGGCAAAAACTGGTATATACCATATAACAGTGGTTCTTATGACTTGTAATTTTTCTCTAAATACAGATCAGATGCCATCAGTATTGGCCAGAAGACAACAAACCAGTTACTGTGTTTGGAGACATAGTGATTACAAAGCTAATGGAGGATGTTCAAATAGATTGGACCATCAGGGATCTGAAAATTGAAAGGGTAAAAAAGTGATAGGGGTGGGAACAGGACAGTAAATATGAATGCTCTAAACATCTAAAGTAAAATTAAGTTCTAGAACTATTCCTTGCAATAATATCTATATAGTCAACAAAGCTTCCCTATTGTTTTCTTAAACAGGCTTTTCGAATTGTTATCTGACTTCAATATCTGTGTCACTGGGTTTGAATTCCAAATCACGTTAAAGTTTATATTAATCAATTAGCATTAAATTCTTAGGTAAAGAAGGGAAGAAAAAAAGGAAGCAACTAGGTCACTGGGTTTATATTACTTGATAAACAAACTATAACATTTGACTTACAACAAAAATTTCCCAAATCACTCATCTTTATCTAATCCCAATTATTTGATTTTCTATTTAATCCAGAACCAGTAGAGAAGTGATAGTGCAGGATCCTGCTCTATCAGTTTTTATAGGTGTCTATACACAGAAACTAATATAAGGATCTTTATACTTTCTGACATTATCAGACACCCAATACCTGTGTTTTGAATAATTGATGGATATGTTAATATTTAAGTTTGGAGTCAAAATTGTTTCAAAATGTACTATTCCAATGTTACAAAATGTTATGCTACATTTGAATATAAATACTCTATATTATAATCACTTTAAGCTTTTTTATTGTTTCTATTCATACTAAAAGGAAATTTTCTTTACTGTAGCAATAATAAAAGACCTTTCTTACAGGATAAATAAAAACAGTTTTTCTGTTTGGTAAACAGTCATTTTTAAAAGATCACCTTCAAAAGCTAGAACATCAGCTGTCTTCCACCTTCATTGTGGTACTTAAACAACTATATCATGCTCCTTCAATCTGTCGCTTTGTTTAGCACGGGGATTGCATGACTGTTCGACAGTGTAACTTCACTGCTTGGCCTGAGCATGGGGTTCCTGAAAACAGTGCCCCTCTCGTTCACTTTGTGAAGTTGGTTCGAGCAAGCAGAGCACATGACACCACACCTATGATTGTTCACTGCAGGTAAAAAAGATATATTATTACAACTTCATATGAGACACTATAAGTAGTATTTAAACTCAATGTGGTTTTTTCATTATCATGACATGGATTATTTTTCTGGCAGCAGTTAATGTAGATCCATTCCAGCTTTTACTTTTCAGATATTTTACTGGCTATAATAAAAAAAAAAGATGTAGCTTTCTAAAAGTTCAGATAGTAATAAACTGAGCAATGAACATATCTAAAAGAAATTTTATATATATATATATATATATATATATATATATATATATATACACACACATACATACACACACATGCCAATACAGGACTTTTCCTGAGTTCTTGACTAGACTATGCTTTTACTGGCCTTTAAAAAATTAAAAATTATATCCAGTCATTAATGTATGTGTGTTCATGTGCATATATGGAATACTTTATGAATTTTATGGATAAACATCTGATCTTTTATTGTTTCAATTGGTATTATAGTATACTATTGTAATTTAAACATATCTTGTAAAAACAAATTTTTAGATTGGGGTTACAAAGGATATATAAAAGAAAATGAAGATATTTAAGTAATCGATCTGAGTAAAATTCCAAATTTTTACCAAGTGTTAGCAAATCAATGTCTTCCTTTGACCTGAGCCTCTGAATATGGTTCATAGAATGAGTATAAATTGAGATTTTTTTTTTCCCCCTTCATTAATTATACTGGTATTTGCTTAGTATTTAGAGTTTTTCTGGACAGATGATACAATTCATGTTTTCTAACAAGATATATCCAAATCAATTTCAATGGGAGTCTCTTCAACAATTGGAAATGGGAGATTAGAGCAAACGTGGATGATAATATATTGTTTCATTATTCCACTTACATAAGATATCTAGAATGGATCAATTAATGGAGACAGAAAGAACAGTGGTTCCCCGGGGCTTTGGGGAGAAGGGGATGAGAAGTCAGCGCCCAGTGGGTGCAGAGTTTCTGTCGGGGCTGATGATGAAGTTCTGAAAACGGCTCGGGGCGCTGGTTGCACAGCAGTGCAGGGTGTGTCCTGCCAGTGAGTTATGCGCTGCACAGTGGCTAAAATGGTCCATTTTATGTTATGTGTCTTTTACTGCAATAAAAACATTTTTAATTAGCAATCTATTTTGAACACATTAAGTTAATTATAACAATGATGATAATTAATTGATTAAGACGTTTCTAATAAGTGCATACTATAATTAGTGTGGTTATATAAGAAAACATCAATTCATCCAGTGTTTTTATCTTTTTAGAGGAAAAGTTCAATATGTAATTTAAGTGGATGTACATTTTCCAAGAATATTTTGGATTTTTTTAATTATAAGAGTAATACAGAAATGCTCGCTCATGATGAAATACCTGAACAAAGTTTGTATTTAAAAAATATATAGAGCTAAAAAGCAAAAGCCTCATTCTTGCCATACCAATTCCATTTTCCCTTTCATATACATAAAATTTTTAACAAAGTGCTATACAGTGTAAATGACACAACAGTTCGCTTCTAAATTTAGTGATGAATTTTAAACTGACATCACTGATGATTGAAACCTCTGATGGAGACTGGTTGCCTTCAGCCGTCTGCATCTTTCTTACACACTGCCACCGGCACTAGAGCCCTTTGGGAAAAAAAGCACTTTCTTTCTGGAAGCCTCAAAAACAGTAGAGAGTCTGTTGTGATTTAAATAGATAAAAGAGAAAAGGAAAAGGTGTGCTTATATGAATAATTATCTTTAAATATCATTTTTTAAACCTACCAAATTTTTATCTCCAACTAACTTCTCACCTCCACCTTATTAAGACGTATATATTTAACTTTCGATTCAACATGACAACCTGAATGACCACAAAACTCCGAAAATTAAATGTGTCCAAAACTGAACATTTGATTCAATTTCTAGACTTTCTCCGCACCGTGTTTGTAAATAGCAAGCCCACTCTGCTTGGTCCCAAAACTCTGGACTCAACCCTGACTCTTCCTCTCTCACATTCAACAACCAACCCACCCGCTCGGACCCCCAACGCCCGTCGCCTCTCCACTCCACTCTCCTCGTCCTGGCCTCCTTGCTCTTCTCTGAACATGTAGAATGTTCTCCCACTCAGCTCTGTTCTCCCACTCCCTCCAGCTGCTCTGCTCCTCTCCCAGACACCCACGTGATGTGCTCCCCAACCTTATTCAAGTTGCTTTTCAAATGTTACTTTATCCGAGAAGCTTTCTCCGATGACCCTATCCTACCCTGTCCGTCCCCATCTCGTGAGCCTGATCGATCAATCGTCGTACCACTTCATCTGCTTCACATGGCTGGGCACATGCTGTGCACGCTTGTTTGTGTCACAACGCAATCTTCCCTCTAGAGTATAACCTTTATATGTGTAGGGACTTTGTATAGTTCACTGTTATACCCCAGATGCCTAGGACAGCGTCTGGCACTCAAAATATATTGAATGATGTAACGACTGATTACTCTGTTCAGGCATATGTGTACATGTGTTATCATAACCAGATTTATGTTGTAATGCTCACTACTTCTTAGGTCAAATCATAGAAAATTGATGACTCAAACTTTTTCCCACCTACAGAAATGGAAGTTAAATGTTGTTTAAAGTAACATAAGACGAGGTGACCTTTAAAATATCTTTTATACTTTTAATAGTTATTTCCTATATTAACCATTTAAGTATCTATTGTCTTTCTAGTGGAAGATGCTACATCAATCCTCTCAGGTTTATCACTTAACAGTTTCTATGGAGTACATACCTGTCCTTGGGCTTTAAACTAATTTTAAAAAAGGAAACAGCTTCTTAATTTTATTATTTGTAAGAAGTAAAAAAAAATTCTATAAAAAAAGTAAAAACGCATAAGGGAATTTTTCAATATCATGCAGTGGGAATGCTATATGGACCAAATACTTGACATTTTTAATGTTTAACATTTCTATTGGGAACCCAAAATATGTTTAATACAAAGTTTCTGATTTTAAGAATTTTCAACAATTTTTTAAAATATTTTTCATACTTCTCCAACTACAACCCCTAAAATATTATGAAAAAGTGTTACCTTTTTTTTAAAAACTCAACTATTTGATAATTGATAATAATCATTTTGCCATGTTAAAACACTCTTGGTAACAATATGAATCTAGAGAAACTCCAAAAAAAATCTACCTCCAAATAAAAAAGTAACTTTAGAATGTATTGCTATCACAGCTCACTTCTTCATCACCATCAACATGAATCACCTTTTGTTGAATAATTTTCACATAATTTCACCTTTTCTGCAGTGCTGGAGTTGGAAGAACTGGAGTGTTTATTGCCCTGGACCACTTAACACAACATATAAATGATCATGATTTTGTGGATATATATGGACTAGTAGCTGAACTGAGAAGCGAAAGAATGTGCATGGTGCAGAACCTGGTAAGATCTGAAACTGCATGCAGTGTCAGCTCTAGAATTTCTTCATGGCAGGATCTTAATGGCAGCAATCTGGTAGGATGTGGACTTGAAACTGTCTTTGCATAGCAGACACTCTCCATTCCTATCTTATAAGCTTCCTCGGGAGAGGGGGCAGGATTAGGGGTGGAGAGGGCAGCGGATGGAGATTATAGAACTAAAGCCCAAGTGCCACAGTCATCCTTCAGCAATGTTACCTGACTGCGCATCATTATTTGTTTATACTTACAGGTGTACAGAAAACAATCCATACAATTGACTTGTTTTTAGCATTCAGCAAGTTTGGGGAGCTTAGAAAATGAATCAAATCAACCTCTTTTTTAAACATGCTTAAACTTATAATAGGAAAAAAAGTTTCAAATATTGATTGTTTTGGGGTTCTATGTATTTTACTTGCCCATATGTATCCCTATTGCCTATTAGTACAATAATGATTATTATAGTATATATTAACTAACTAGGAGATGTTTTGTTTTGCTGTTTTGGTTTGGAAGTAAAACTATTACTATAACATATAGATTTTTCTCCATTAAAAAATCACATAGTATAATGGTAAGGAGCCTAAAGACCCTCTATGGAGTGTCTAGTGGGTTCCAAGTACTATACTAGATTCTTTACACAGGCTATCTTATTTAATTGTTTATTTGTAAAGTAGGCCCAACAAACCTAGTCAACAGACTGGGCATTATTGGCTCTGCTATACAAATATGGAAGCAGGTGTTCCAAGTAGTTAAGTAATATTCCAAGGTTATACTCTTCATAACTGTCAGAGCCACATGCCAACCCATGTCTAACTGTAATACGCAAGATGTTCCTGTCTGTATCTTTGCATTGGAATTTTTATGCTATATAAGCAGAGACTTTCTCACACTAAATCTACAGATCTGTTGTAACTATTTTTTCCAAGGTACATCCTAGAAAACATGAATGTCATCACAGTAAAAAGTGTGAGAAAATAGGTTCTTTGCTAAAATAAGTTTTAGAAAGAAGTTAAACTGGTTTTCTTAGAATCTCTTAGAGCCTCTATACCAATGCACATTGAAAATGACAAATGCAGAATACAACCTTTTTGGACTACACATCCCTTTCAGGAAAAAATGATTGCGCATTTAACTCCAATATACATGCATTTATTTTTTAAATGTAGATTGTATAATTATGTAAATTCTTTTTTTATTGTTGCTCAATTACAGTTGTCCCAGTTTTCCCCCCATTGCTCTCCCCTGCAGCGCCCGCCCTGATCCCCCAGTCAGAGCATATACAAATTAAGAAATCAAAACACATTAGATGATGTCATACTTTGAAAACCTTGCTAATTGTGATGGCTTTTTGTTATCATTAGGTATTCTTAAAAGATAAAATATATACTTAGCACAGGCTAACTCTGTTTTGAAAGTGGTTTCAAATACATATTTTAAATTTTTTCTCATTTTTTTAAAGTAACCTCATTTACTACAAGAGGATTCTTCTAGGAGCACAAAGGCTGTCACCCCTGCCATTATCTTGCCATTCACCTGGGCTCGCATGATAAATATCCACAATGTCTTTGTGGGAATCTTTTGAAGCCCCATCAATTCCCCGATAGTTAGATAAAACTAGGTAATGTAGTCCATGTCCGTTCCTTTATATGCCACAGGGAACAAACGCGTGAAGTGTTATTCCTCCCTCAGAATCCTTCAGAAATAGAAAATGACTTGTCGCCAGGGTTGGCTTCCTAGGCATGCAAATCTGTGCAGGCTCACAGATCCCCATTCTCAAAAGGGCCTTGCATCTGGTTTAATGTTTGCTATCACTGTCTTGAAAACATTTTATAATTTTTAGGGAAAACAACATACATTTTCATTTTGCAGTGGGCCCTGCAAATTATGTGGCTGATTCTTGTCCAGGGGTTTTATAAGGGCTCCAATATCAATCCAACGATTAACCATTATTAAAACTCAAATTTTTTCATATTTTAGTTAGCAATAAGGATGAATAAGATGCTGATTTTCCTCTCACATGCTTCGGTGTACAAATGTGCACTAGAGATCAATGCTCTTGACATTGACCTAGATTGGTTGGCTCTCTTGAATAGAACAGAATATGGGACTGATTGGGATATGATCTCCTTCTAGAGGCTAGAGTCAGTCTTCAAATAATAAAAGCTGGAAAAATTTTTTGTCATACTCTAAAACTTTGTCAAACTGAATTTTGTAGAATGCCTGTTAAAAATTTTACACAATTTAGTGCTCAATATATGCTATAATCTTCATACATTATGCTTGTTTAACCAACAAGAGAAAAATGCTGCATTTGGGGAAGGGAGTAGAAAGAGCATGAAATTTTGGAGTTGGAGAACTGAGCTCAGAATCCAGCCCCACTAACTGCTGGCTCTGGTTTTGTGTAATTAACTTCTCTAGCGATTTTTTAAATAGCTGTATTATGCTTTTCACAAGTTTGCTGTCAGTATTAAATAACAGACAGCATGTACAACACCAAGCCTGCAGTTAGCACCCAGTGTTCAGTAAATGTCTGACAAGAATCTGCTGGGGGTCTCCTTACTGACAAGCTGGCACTCTGAAGTTCTCTTTCACCAACTTCATTTCCAGGAGTTTTACTCTTTACTGTCCTTTCTCTGTGATGAAAAAAAAGAAAAGAAAGAAAGAAAAAGGAAAATGAGAAAAGACTTCTGATCAAGATGGCAGCATAGGTAAACACAGCTCACCTCCTTGCACAACCACATCAAAATTATGACTAAAATATAGAGCAACCATCACTCAGAACCACTAGAAATTGAGTTGAATGGAAGTCTGACGGAGCAAGGAGTCTAAGCCCCACACCGGGCCACCCAGCCCAGGGTTCCAGTGCCAGGAAGATAAGTCCCCATAACTTCTGTCTACAAAAACCAGTGGAGATCGAATCAGGGAAAGAAACATCTAGAGTCCCAAGCAGTTCCTCTTAAATAACCCACACATGGACTGACTCAGACACACCTTCTCTGAGCTCCAGCACCAGGGTAGCAGCTTGAAAGACACCAGTGGCATATAGGCTGAAGTGTCTGGCATCAAATCAAGAGCTGCAGGATAGCTATCTACCAGACAAGAAGTTGGACAGAGGCCATTGTCCCTTTTCTGAGCCATCCCTACACAGAGCTGGCAGGCAGGTGCCATATCTGAGACTCCATCGACCTGGCTAACACTGCTTGCCACACCCTTCAGATCCCCTGAGATTACTTTCCACAAAATTTACAGCCCCACCCAAACTGTTAACCATGACTTTTCCTTATCAGTAGCTGGTCTTGGCTCATGCTTCACAACTTCCTATACCCTATCAAATAAGCAACAGCTGACCTCAATAAGTACCCACCCCAGTACCTCATGCTAAGCAACCCCATGCATGGGACTAGCAGCAGCCAGCGTAGGTTCACAGCTTGGCTTCACCTGAGAATATCTAAGCCCAGTAGGAGCCACCTCAGATTGCTTTATAGCTCAGGCAGGGTAGCCCCATCAGAACACAGGTGGGAGTTGAACTTGGCCTGCACCACCAAGGAAACCCCTAAGCCTGTGCACCCAGTGGACAGCTACAGACTACACTGGACCACCACCCTGCCCCTGCACCAATGATCTTCCATTGAGGGCAGAGGTTAGTGGTCAGTGGCCACAGCCAGTCTTGGAAGCTGACTAGCCTAGATAAATCCCTCCCATTTATCTGCCAACAGGATTCAAGGCTCCACTACAAGAGGAGGGTATGCTCAGCCCATATGAAAGGTGCACCTCGATAGGGGAGGCTGTGCCACTGGACCCTACGGGACACCTACTGCATTAGGCCATGCTACCAAGACAGGGAGTCATAGCAGTTCTATCTAATAAATAGAAACAAATAGAGGGATGCTGCCAAAACTAGGAGACAAAAAAAGCATGGCCCAAATGAAAGAACAGATCAAACCTCGGAAAAAGGATTAAATGAAATTAAGATTCAGAGTTCAAAACACTGGTTTATATGGCTTCTCAAAGAATTTAGTGAGGACCTCAACAGCATAAAAAAGATCCAGTCAGAAACTAAGTATACACTAATTGAAATAAAGAATAATGTACAGGGAAACAACAGTAGAGTAGATGAAGCCAAGAATCAGACCAATGACTTCAAACATAAGGAAGCAAAAACAACCAATCAGAACAACAAGAAGAAAAAAGAATCCCCCCCCAAAAAAAGGGGATAGCCTCTGGAACAACTTTGAACATTCCAACCTTCACATCATAGGGTTGCCAGAATAAGAGAAAGAGAGAGAAATTAGAAATCTATTTGAAAAAATAGTGAAAGAAAACTTCCCTAATTTGGTGAATAATAGACATGCAAGTGCAGGAAGAACACAAAGTCCCCAAATAAGATGGGTGCAAAGCGGCCCATTCCAAGACACATCATAATTAAAATGCCAAAGGTTAAAGGTAAAGAGAGAATCTTAAAAGCAGCAAGAGAAAAGCAGACAGTTACCTACAGGCGAGGTTCCTATAACTGTCAGCTGATTTCTCAAGAGAAACTTTGCAGGCTAGAAGGGACTGGCAAGAAATATTCAAAGTTATGGAAAGCAGGGACCTACAGCCAAGATTGCTGTACCCAGCAAAGCTATCATTTAGAATCAAAAGGCAGATAAAGAGCTTCCCAGACAAGAAAAAAATAAAGGAGCTCATCATCACCAAACCATTATTATATGAAATGTTAAAAGGACTTATTTAAGAAAAAGATCAAAACTATAAATAATAAAATGGCAATAAACACATATCTATGAACAATTGAATCTAAAAAAAACCTAGGCAAACAAGAAGAACTGAGACAAAATCGTGGATACTGAGAGTGCTTTGATGGTTGCCAGATAGGAGAGAGGGTGTGGGGGAATGGATGAAGAGGTGAGGGGATTAAGAAGTGCAAATAGGTAGTTACAGAATAGCCATGGGGATGTAAAGTACAGTGTAGGAATAGCCAAAGAATTTATTTACATGAACCACGGACATGAACAGTGGTGTGGGGATTGCCCGAGGGAGTGTAAGGTGCTGGGTGGAAGGGGCAAAGGGGGAAAATTGGGACAACTGTAAAAGCATAATCAATAAAATATAATTTAAAAAAATAAAAAGAAAAGAGGAAAATGATCACATCTTGGCTCCTGTCCTTACAAACCAGCATTGGCTTACACAAAGAGGTTCCTTACTTTCTTGTTGCACTTGGGAGTGATTCCAGGTTTCATAAAGAATGCCCATGTCTCAGCACATATTACAGTAGCCATAAGCAGACATGAGGAGGTTGGAACCTCAGCAAAATATTGCCACAAAATGGCACCAGAGGGGCATGGCCTCAGCCCAGAAGAGAGCTTTATCTTTCATTGTCTACGAAAAATAATTGATAGAAGCCCCAAAGGATCTGAAAGGACTTTCTGAAAGAATGCTCCGCAGTGATGTAATATCCCGAGATACTATTGGCACTTCACATGAGGGTTAATCTGGATGAGCCTCTTTCCTGCTCTGGTTCTCCTGGAAGTTTACTGATATGAACAAAGTGAAAGAAAAAAATAACTAATATATTTTGGGTGCCTATTTTTTTGTCAGGCAATCTACCTATAGTAAGTCTTTTAAATCTTACCACATAGGTTTTACAACCCCCAAGAGGAAAAGTGAACGTCAAAAATCTTAATTCTTAAGGTACAGCATATCTAGGGGAAAAAAATGGAAAGTGCACCCTTCACTGCCTCTTTGGCAATAACACACCACGGCAGAGGCATCTTGGAAAAGGCAGTGCTGCCCTGTGAGCTCAGCCTGCCCTCCTGGTGGAGTTTCCACCCATCATTCTTTCCAGTGGAGAAGATGAGATGGACACAGTCAGAAGCTTCATATGTCAGATGTGACTTTAAAATCAAATGTGATTTTTTTAAAAAAATACTAGAACTCATAAATTTAATTGATTGTTGTTTTCAAAGAAATTATAGGATGCCAATATATTTCTAACAATAATGTTATTCATTGTATGATACATATTCAAAAATACTCTCTTGGAATTACCTTGAGAAGTTTTTTTACTAGCAATGTCAATAGAATTTTCATTGCTTTATAACCACACTTCATTCCTTGCCAAAACTGAATTATGTAACTTGATCATCCACCTCACTTACAAAACTTGATCTCTAATGACTTCTGGATGGATGTTCCCCAAATGAAAGCTTTCCTTAAATGGTAAAGATTGGCTAGCTGTGAGAATTAAATGAGACTAAGTCAACAATCATTTATTACGCAACTATGACATGCCGGGCACTATTACAGGCAATGGGAATTCAGTAGTGAATATGAGAGTTATGCCCTCAGAGAATTAACATTCCGGAGATGAGATGTTTTGGGGAGCATTTGTAATCCACGAAGAAATAGATATTCCTGATAATGACCAACAATCTCTGAAGACAGTTTCAGTAAGAGGATTCATAAAGGTTTTGTGGTAGCAATAAATATAACCTCTTAAGGTAGTCACTTAGAGGACATTCTACTTAAATCAATTGGTTCTATTTGTACATTTATATATCTTAAACATTTGGTTATATTCCTTTAACATCAGGTATGTTTCTTATGTAAAAGTAAGGGTGACTTTCTCTGACTGTAACCTTAACTACCTTTGGGAAAGCCCAAACTCAGAAAGGATAACAGGTTATTGAATTATATTGAATAAACTTAAAGAACTCAGATGGTACTAAATTTAGTCCAAACATTAAGATGAACTTATTAGGAGTTCTTATCTAGAAACCGGTTTTTTGGGTATATGAATGGTCACCTGCCTTTTACCTACAAATAGAGACCTTCTTTTTGTTAGTTACTTGACAATAAGTAGGACAAATGTTTAGGTGATCGACAGAATCGTGAAACATATTTTAAATATGCTGCTGGTGTGTGATTATACTCACTCACAGATTTTGAAAGTAAATTTAGCATCTGCATTCCAAAAGTCATTCTAACAAGAAAACTGTTTATAAGAAAAATTACTCAATTAGACCTAACAGGAAAAAGGAAACTTGTAAACACATTTAAATAATCTAATTTTCCACTTTTTATAATCACAGCAAGAAAGGACATATTAACACTGTGTGTTCAATGACAAGTATTTTTAAAGAAAGTTGAAGCTCTAAGAAGCCACAGGAATTTGGAAAACCTTGAGATGGTATAAAGTCATTTACATACATGGTAAATGACGTGCTTCTGATTTAGCTATTTAACATTTGCTGAATTCAATATTAGTTTTCATTGTAACAGTATGGCTCACTGTATAAGAAGTATCTCCACCATATCTGTTTATTTAACCACTCTTTCTTTTGTGTCTAGGCACAGTATATCTTTTTACACCAATGCATTCTGGATCTCTTATCAAGTAAAGGAAGTAATCAGCCCATCTGTTTTGTTAACTATTCAGCACTTCAGAAGATGGACTCTTTGGATGCCATGGAAGGTAAACAGGGGCTGTGTGTACCAAATTTACTATTTTACTATGTGTAGTAGGAGTATTAATTTAATAATAACCATATCTTGAAAGTGTTTTAGAAGCTTGGTTGGTGCACTGATCCATTTTTTAAATTTCTAATCCAAGTTAGGAAAATAGCTTTTCTATGTGCACTATATTTTTGCCATGAAGCATTTAAATCTTTCGAAGTTGTTAACTTTAATTCTCTTTTGTGACATGTTACTTTATGTTATAGGTGATGTTGAGCTTGAATGGGAAGAAACCACCATGTAAATATTCACACCAAAGATTACAACTGGAAGATGTTTTTAAGTCCCAGGGGCCAAAATTACCCCCTCATTCTTCTGAATTGAAATGTTCGATCTTAAAGAAATCTGTATGCTTCCCTCACTGTGCCTTACCAAATACATTGACATTTTATGAATATTTGTAATAAATAGCTAATTCAGGATAGGGTTTTTTTGTTTTGTACAAAATCAATATTATGCATTTAAAATGTTTAAGAAAAGATATCCCAGAGGTTTTGGAAATCTTCCATATTTTTGGAATGAGCCAAATAGAAAATTCTTATTATAATAGCATTAATGTTTCAATGTGAATTTCCCTACGCATTGGATTTAATCTTGAACAAAGTTGTAAATGTTGATTCAGTAGTGTTATTTTGGCCTCCAGGGTGTTGACGTTTCTTGTGGATAACTTCCAGGACTGTCATAATGATCTGGACTTCCATGTACACCGCTGTGTTTTGAATCCTCTGTTTTATGAGTGCTGAGATATCATCTCATGATCTCGAACAGCTGAACAGTAACCCCTGACACTGCAGGGATTACTTAGCTTTCATACAACACACAGTAGCTCTTCGGGGACACTTAGGGCTATTGAAATTGCATTGTGATCTTTAGTTTGAAAAAACAAAGGAGAAAAATTAAACAGTGCAATTGCTTATATGAAGCTGTGGGGGATTTTTCTAGCCTGTTCTACATTTGTACATTTTCAGGCACACACTGTACCACTATATTGTATATTAAATATATAGTTAAATGTATCAGAGTAATTGTCCATTAGATATATATTCAACTGATAAACAGTTTTGAAGGTTTTCATCAGCAGAAATGTATAAAAAACAGTAATAAAAACATGTACTGTGTTGCAAGCTTGTAAACTACTGATGTGCTTCTGTGGTGCCAACAGAGATTTCCGAATAACTAAAAAAAACGGTCTTTACTTTATTCCCCAACTTTGCTTATTGAGGAATGTATTTGGTGGAACTGAAGAAAATAAATCAACCAGGTTACAGCAGATGAGATTTTTTTTAATTATTTCAACATCCTTTTTGTTAGATAGTGATGATGTACTTCAGTTTTGAACTATCAGTATATGGTATTATTTTGTCATAGATTTCAACCGAGTCATAAAAGAAAATATTATTCTATTTTTTCCAAGATAGGGATTATACCTTATGAATGTTTCTATTGGAATATAAATATAGGTAATGTGATGGCCAATAAAATTGAATTTTAAGGAATTGAGTTACTTTGCAGCATAATTTCAGAGATCCTTGTAGATATAAATTTGATTTTCTATCATATTAGGATATAATTGCTAATGACTATAATATAATAAAGTATTTATATATAAGTACAATATAATATAAATAAATTAAGATATAATTATTTCCCATGGTACTCATAGAAAACATTTTATTTAATTTTTTAAAGATTTTATTTATTAATTTTTAGAAAGAGGGTAAGGGAGAAAGAGAGGAAGAAAAACATAAATGTGAGAAAAAAAAGTTGATTGGTTGTCTCTCTTAGGTGCTCCGACCTGGGACCAAACCTATAGCCCAGGCATGTGACCTGACCTGGAATTGAACCGGTGACCTTTTGCTTTGCAGGCGATGCCCAGCCAACTTAGACACACTGGTCAGGGCTAGAGAGTAATTTTAAAATTAAATTTATTACCCAAGAAGTTAAATCCTTTAGTCTTGTATGCAGTCTTCTTCCTGTTTTTCCGGGCAAGGAAGTATAAATAAATATAATCTTCTATTGTTCCAACTAACAAATTTATTCTATAGAAAATTACAGAAAATAAGAGAGAACTCTAAAAGATTCAGGTTGGGCCCTGGCTGGTGTGGCTCAGTGGGTTGAGCACCAGTCTGTGGACCAAAGGGTCACATGTTCAATTCCCTATCAGGGCCCATGTCTGATGGGGCCAGGTCCCCAGCTGGGAGCATGCAATGTTTCTCTTGCACATCAGTCTCTTTCCCCCTCCCTTCCCCTCTCTCTAAAAAATAAATAAATAGAATCTCTAAAAAGAGAAGATTCAGGTTGGAATTAGAAGTTCTTCAGTTAGCATAGTGTGTTAGTTATTGAAAATGTGTGGCATGCCTGTGCTTATGAATGTGGGTTTTTAAATTTTGTGGAAAACAGGTAACAGCCTGTGAAAAATATTAATGACATTACTTTTTAATGTATTAAGTTATAAGAAAATAAATAGTTAAACCTGTAGGCCAGTAAATTTTCTGTAATATCCGTATAAAACAGATGTGTACATCACAGAGTATCAAGTCTGACCCATGTATATATGCATATGTGTGTATAAAACAGAGATTTAATATAAGGCCTCCTCTAAAACAGTGCTTATCAAACTTTAATGTGTATTAAAAATCACCTGAAGAGTGTGTTGAAATGCAGATTCTGTTTTAGTAGGTCTGGGGTGAAACCTAAGATTCTTCATTTCTAATAAGTACTGGAGTTTTAATATTGTTGCCTGATCTCAGACAATGCATTGGATAGAAAATCTCTAAAACACATTATACATGTTTCAAATAATTTCACATCCACCTGAAATTATTTAAAACATGTTAAAAAAACACTTGCCTTCAATATCAGCAAAGAAAATTATAACAGAGCACTTGTTAAATGTATATAACAAACTAGCTATGTTGCAAAACTATAACTGAAATTGAATTGATACTCACATATTAACGTAGCTAAATTTTCTCTTAATTATGTTGTGAAAGGGCTAGTTTATAGCCAAGTTCCATAGGTGACTACTAAGTTCAAATTAAAATAATGAGGAACATCTGTGACGCTTTTAGATCCGATTTGTCAAAATATATTGAAGCACATGTACAGTAAATGAGCAACATGTGTTTCATCTAAACCAAATGAAACCGGAGCCTCTCAGAATGGCTTGCCAAGGACAAGAGCAGCTGTGGACGTCACCTCTACTTTCATCCTGCTTTAGAACGTACAACTTTTTTCTTTCGGTTTATAGGTAAAAGGTATAATAAGTATTGAAAAAAATTATTAAATCTTTCTCTTGTCATAAGGAGATGGTGATTCACTCTCTGAGTGTGGTACCAAACACTAATTTTTTTAATGGGATTTAAGTTTAGCAATAAATTCTATAAATCCATGACATTATTATACTAAGTCCTTTTTCATGGGCTAGCTTTTAGAAAACTCATGGTGAAACATTTGATAAAGTCTGGAATACAAAGTGATCTGAAATTCTCAACTGAATATTAAAGGTAAAAATATGAAAAAATAGGTTAGAAAGCATAATCTTGGCAAAACTGCTTGCCTTCTTAGGATAAGTAATATTTTGTGGTAAATGACTTCATAAATATGCAAAGAGTTTCCATGTGGAATCAGGACTTCTATGCCCACCTGTTTATGAAGATGTTCTGAGGAACAGATTATATCACACAAATGAAAGTATTTCAAAAAGTACAATGAACTCTTCAAAGTTAATATAATCTTTTAGCCAGGCTGATAATTGTGTAATATTTATTAATAAAAATATGTCTCTACTTTTAGCACTATATTATAGTTTGTGATATTTTGTGCTATATCTGTATGTCTGTTTCACATGTAGGAACTGAAGAGAAAATTATGGCAGTTATAGTAGTTTCTGCTAAATAAGACCATTAATATTTTTATGAATAGCTAAGAGTATTCTCAAGGAATCTTTGGACTAAAATGAATAGACAGACATGAACACAAATAATATAAAACATGATCTGAAAAATAAGTCAAGAAAATTTTTGTTTCAGGTATTTTGACAGGACATTCTGAATCTGTGTCTGCAATACAGTCATTTAAGAATAAAACCATAACTTCATAGCAGGTAACAAAAGACATTATTTCTTCCTGTAACCAGATTATGATTCTAGAGTCACAAACTCACCTTACTTTGGTGTTCACTCAAAATATTCTTGGATTAGGAAGTAATTACATTAAACTATAAAATTTTTATAATAATTTTATATTCATCATCTTAATGCTTACAAAATCCCTTAAGTTCTGTATGGTCCCATATTACAGATAAATATAATAAAAGTTTAACAGCTGTACCCAAAATCATGTTTAGTAAGGGTGGGAGCTGTATATCACAATCAAGTTACTGAAGACTAATGATAAAAATAAAATTTTTAATAGCAGCAAAGAAATTAGAGACATGTTCAAGGGTACAAAGATAAGAAAATACTCTGGTTTCTATTCAAAGGCAATGCAAGCCAAAACAAATTGGAATGATAAATTCAAAGGCTGAAAGTACCTTCTAAACTTCATTAAGGACAGCTACAAAAAAGCTAGGGTTAATACCATACTTAATGGTGAATTATTAAAGGTCTTCACCCTAACGTCAAGAAAAAGGCAAAAATGCCCACCTTTACAACTTCTATTCAACATTGCACCAGTATTCCTAGCCATTACAATAAGGTGAGAAAAGAAATAAAATGAATAAAGTTTATTAAAAAAAAAAATTTTCTGAATGAGTAGAAGATATAATCATGTATGAAGAAATTCTTGAAAAATGTACCAAAGAAGAAGCTGCCAAGTATAATAAATAACTTTAAAAGGTTGCCAGATATAAGACCAAGATACAAAAATTAATTTTACTTGTACATCAATGACCATCTGGACATTGTAATTAAAAATATATTAACAATAGCACCCATAAACATGAAATACTTAAGAATAAATTTAAAATGTGTGTAAGTTCTGTATATTAAAATTAAATTGAGAAAAATTAAGAAACTCAAATAAAATTTTAAATATACATGTTCATGAACTCAAATACTTAAGATATCAATTGAATGTAGGGGGCAGGTGGGCAGGATGGGGGAGAACAGAGGGGGGAATGTGGGGATGACTATAAATGAATAATAAAATTGTTTTTAAAGATATCAATTATCTTCATATTAATATATAAATTAAACAGGATATAAGTCTTAATCTCATAAGGCTTTTGTCCCCTAGGAATCA